ACTCTTCTGTGAGAGAAAGTAGTACCACATAACATTTCAAACAGTACTTGCAGGCAAGTGTTTTAAATATCCTACTGTAAAATGTATATTTTTGTGTTCCCTGCCCTCAAAACATTAGTAAGCTAAACCAAATTTTTGGCAAAGTAATGCATGCACATAAATTCCCCCTTTCAAAACTAAAAAGGCATCAAGGCAAATACATGTAATGTCAATTAGTAATCTTTATTGTTCTTCACCAGTGGTTGTCATATTGCTTTAAAAAAATTTTTTTTTAAGGATTAAAAAAAGTTTGGTCATATGCTGTAACAACTGACATACACATTCAAAACAATTTAAATGAAGGCTTTATATATCCTTATTGTGATGCTAGTGTCGGGGGTGGGGGCGGTGAGATTTATGACATGTTCCAATGAGAAGATACTATTAGTATACTTCCAATAGGATGAATGGCCCAACAGGAACTTGGGCAATGTTTTCTCCAGAATACATATTACATTAGAAGAAGAAAAAAAAGGTAGAGGAAGAGAGGAAGGGAAAGGGAGGGGGGGGGACAGGGGAAGAGAGGGAGAGAGAGAGGAGAGAAAACAACAATTTGGCAGTTAAAGAATTTGGATCATATAAAATTATTTTTGATATATAACTGACAATAATTAAGTGAATAAAATACTTTTCAGCATATATTATCGACATGAATTGCTGATTCATTTGTAAGAATTAATCTTTAACAGTCCAAGTTCATTGTCTTGTAAAAATCTACTTGGGGTTCACAAAGGTCTTATAAAATGCTAGTAGAAATATTAACATTATTATAGTACTTATTCTACCAAAAATTTTTCTTAATTTCACTGAAGTACTATATGAACATATATAGCATTTTGAATCAATTCACCTGGTATTCCATCTCTTTAAATCCATTAAAATCAGAATTTTAGAATTGAGATCATTCATGTGTTTTTATCCTTGACTTACAAACTTAGTTTTCTTCTACCTCCAAAAGGCTTGTCTGAAGTGTTACCTACGGAGCTGATTTAACTTTCTAAACCTAGTCATAGAGTTAGTACCAGTATCTCCCAAACACTCGTGTCACCTTAGAAGGTTATATGATCTCTATTACGTTTAAGATACTTGATTCCAAAAGAAAAAAATTTCTCTGTAGTCATCTAAAGTTCACTTTAAGCCCTCAAAAAAAATTCCTTCTTTCTAGATGCATTCACAATTATAAAGTAGCAGAACTCATTTTTTTTTTTGAGCAGAAAATCAATGCTGTCTACTGTATGTCACATATATTTGAAAATTTGCCCAGAATTTTACTATTTATCCTTTCTCTGCAGGGTTGCACAAAAATATTAAGAAAAAACTAGGCTAATTAGGTAGATATTATAGTAATAAAAATTCTATTAATTATTTATAGGGCTTGGGGACAGGTGTTACTGGCATATAATACAAATATAATATGCATTAATTCCAATTTTGAAAAACGTAAACACCTGCCCAAAACAAGATCTAGACTAGAACTCTAGTAGAACTTCTGAGATAATAGAAATGTTCTGTATTTGCACTGTCTAACTTAGTAGGCAGTAGCCACATATGGCTATTGAACACTTAAAATGTAGCTAGTGTGACTATGGAACTTAATTTTAAGTTGTTAGATTTTAATAGCTACATGTGATTAGTGCAGAATATTTTTGCCATCCTATCATGTTCCCTCATGATCCTTTCCACTAAAATCCCAACCTACTACCTCTGCCACCATAAGAAGACACTAAACATAGATTACTTTTTCCTGTTCTTCAATTATTATAAATGGATTCATATGCTATGTACTCTGTGTCTGGCTTCTTTTACCAAATACAATGTTTCTGAGATTCATCCGTGTTGTATCAGCAGTTCTTTCCTTTGACTTGCTCAATAGTATTCCACTGTATGAATGTATCACAATTTTTTATTAAATACATGATCGATACATAATCAGAGCTTCCCATTTTTCAAGTATTTTGATACAAATGTGTTTTTCCATGTCTCTGCTAATCACTCTTACCTGAGAGAAAAAAAGAATCTAAGTTAAAACACAACATTTTAAATTAATAATGTTGAACATTTTACAGTCAGGAACTATGCCCCATTTTAGTTTGGTTATGTACCTTTTATTATTAGTCCCACAGTGTGTTCTGCACTGTAATAGGTGGCAACTGATACTGTGGTCTAATACTGGGTCTTTTCTGTGACTTCTTAGCAAATAATTTATTTCTGAAACGTACATGCAATATATGTGAAGATGTGCCGCTTTAAAAAATGACTTAAAAAACATCCTGCAAGAACTGACTATGGGTACAAAGGTTTCTGGGTTCTTTTATAACTAATTACAGTATTAAATAATACATGCATATAAAATCGTTATTTTCGAGTCTATAGCTTTAATCGGTATCTTGGTAATTTGATTCAGTGTGGTGATATATTCATACATGGAACATTTCAAATATTAACCTCAATATGGTTAGAATCGTATCATCATCAAGTTTCCTAAAACACGGGAAAAATACTCCAAATTCTAAATTCTGAAGAATTAACTTCAGGAAATTTGTGTATTCCTAACTCTGGAAAAAATCAAACCTGTGAGTAGGCAAAAAAAAAAACAAAAACGTCTTTCAGCTTAAAACTTTAAAACTGATGTTATAATATCCTTGCACAAAGGTTGCACTTTTTTTTTTTTCTGATAGTCCCTCAAAGTACCTATTTATACTCTTGAGATAGAGTATTGCACAAGCTTCACTATGTGGTTTTCTTGCCTGCAGATTAAGAGCAGTAAATCAAAAGGGTGGGAAGGATAACAGAACTAGGCTCACTGACAGCAGTATAAAGCAACAGCTGACAATGAAAGAAGGGACAAACTGTAACAGACAATGGAACTTTAAAAACAGAGCTATTCAGAGAGCCATGTAGTGTGAGCATACAACCTTACACACCATTATAGGAATGATGACTTTATCCGTAATGAAGTGAATATTCACAATGACTACCAGGTTTCATAAAGCTGGAATGCATACTTCATTTCCCATCTGCATGTCAAATGGGAACCACATTGGTCACCAGAGTCATTTGTCTGACTAGAAAGTCTTACCACCACAGCTGAATTAGGAAATCTTTTGGCTTTAGCACTAGGCTCACCACTGTTCACTACTGCAACACATTATTATTTTAAGAACATATGTAACTCCTGAGATTATCAAAGGCAACAGTATGACTTTTATAAACGTACCCAAAGTAACTGGTTTCTAAAACACGGTAACCTTGTATTCCCTGGCACACAGCCATAACCTAAAGCCACCGACTTTCAGGACTGTTTTTTCTAAAATGCGAAAATTACCTACCTAACACTGGTGGTGTTGGGATTATATGAGATAATGTACGTTAAACACTTAACAACATTTCTGGGACACAGAGTAAGAGCTCAGTATTCTTTTAGCGCTAGTCAACTCATGCTGGCCCAAATCTCTTACTCGCAGGTGCAAAAATTAAGCCTCAAGAGAACTAACTTCCTAAGGCTCTATTTCTATGTTATTGTCTTGGATAAGCAGATTAGTGGCAAATGTTGAGAGACTTTAGGTATCCGTTGGGCCTGGGGGCATGTGCCTGCTGGACTTGTCTGCAGCGAATCGGAGTCCGTTTGAAACAGGAGGCATTCGAGGTTGTGCGTTATCGACGGGCGTTGGAGATGGCAGGTTGTGTTAACAACATTCAACACAGACGGAAGCCATTCGTCTATCTCAATTGAGCCGGAAGGAGCAAGACCCTCTACTGCAGCAGGTTGAGTAACCGGAGGCTGAGGACAGGGCAGGTAACAGGATCCGCGCCTGAGCTCAAGTCCCAGTTAGGTCGACCTTAAAGAGAAATGAACACCTAAGGTCTGAAACTAACAGAGAACTGGAAACTAACGGGAGGGTATTGCAGCAGGTGGAAGTCACCCCGCCCCTCTACGCCATCCGTCGAGGGGAACTGCCGAAAGCGTTTTCACAGCCTCCGGGGAGGGCAATTTCTTGCTCTTTACTGGCACTTACTCCCAGCCCTGAAGGTAGGAAGTGACGACCTCGCCTTTCCGTTCTGAAGAGAGGCCGGACCCTCTTGGACTTCACCTCTCCGCGCCCTCCGCGGCACGGACCGCGGGAGGCCGGCTGGCTGCCCACGCGCACCCACGCTCGCCTTCTCTAAGATGGCGGCAGAGGCAGATCGCTAACGCCCCGCCGCCCGCGCTCCTCAAAGTCGTGCCCTTAGGAGGCGGGAGCGGCTCAGAGCGCGGAAGGCAGGAGGACAGGAGTGACGTGGACCCTCCAGTCCAGCGCAGGCCGCGGAGCCCTGAAGCGCTCGGAAAAGGTGAAAGCTAGGAGGCGGACGCAACCAGGAAGACCGCCGGCGTCTCCGACACGAAAAAGCGGCGGCACATCCGGGCCCCTCTGCCCGCCCCGCCCCGGAAGTAACGTATCGGGAGGGGGCTGTTCTTCAAGGTGCATTCTTCCTTCGCCATAGCTCGTCTCTCCACAAAGTGCCTGGAATCCTCCTCGCCACCCCCTCCCCCGAGTTAGCCGTTCCTCTCTCGTGGCTCCGGGACATCTCTGCACAAAGCTGGCTGCTGGGACAGACAGCTCTCGTTTCACAGATAGTGCCCCTAGCCCACAATCCTAAACTGCCCTGGGCTCCGCCAGCGCGTGTAGTAACGTTCCTCCGAGAGGGCTCTCGTGCCCTCAGCCCCAGCCAAGCCTAGGCGAGGCTCTCCCGAGTCCTGCGTTGGAATCCGGGTCTGGGGCTCCTTCACCCGGCCCGTTCGGGGGCCGTCAGTCACAGCGCTGAGCCCTCCCCTTCCGGCGGCTCGGCAGGGCCCGCCTCCTCCCCTCTTCCCTCCCCCACCCCTCCCCGTGCGAGTGTCTCCCTCTCCCTCTTGCTCTCTCTCTCTCTCTCCCTCTCTCTCTCTTTTGTGAGTTATAGCAACCGTTGCCTTGTGAATCAAGCGCCATAGTCACCGTAGTCCTGGCGACTGTTACCCATCAACAACAACTACTCCTCTCCTCCTCCTCCTCCTCTTCCTCCTCCTCCTCCTCCCCACCACCACCATCTCCATCACCCACCAACAACACCACAATAATCCACAGCCAAGGTGAATATTCTTCGGTCTCTACATGTGTGTGGGAGCGTGTGGCTGCGTGTGGACGCGTGTGTCCGTGCGTGTGTGTGTTCGTGTGTGCAAGCCGACCGTGGCTGTGCAGGGGTCTCACTCCCGACGCGGGGGCTGCCGCTGCGGCGCCGCCGCCGAGGGGCTCCGCTCCCCGGGCTTGTTTACAATGGACCCTGCGCGCCGCGGCTGGGTCGGGGGTGTGGGCGCCGCGCCGCCCGCCGGCCCCGGCCCTGCGCCGGCCGCACTTCAGGGATGGAGCGGGAGCTCGGGGGGCTGCGAGCCGAGCGGGAAAGGGAGCCACAGTTTTCCGATGCGGATGCTGGATCTTTCCCTTAGGTCTGGTGTGAGGAGAAGGGTCAGGTGAAGAGATGAGGATTTGTTCTTTCTCTAATTTTCTTCTTTGGCAACGCTGCTTGTTTCCTGCTTCTTTCAAAGCCGAAATAGACAACAATGTGCTGGGGGGGACCCAAGAGGTGCTGTTTTGTTGTTGTTGTTGTTCACTTGCGGGGCCTCGTTAGGGGTTTCGTTATTTTTATCCTCGTACGTTGATGAACTTTTCCCACCGCCTATTCCCTTCCTTTTTGCCCCTCTTTGCCTGGTGCTAAATGGGCTGCTCTTCTTTCACCATCAACAGCTTCACGGTTTTCTTTTTTCTTTTTAAAACTGTATTTTCTTTGTGCGGCAAACAGTCTTAATATCCATTCAGCACTCTTCCCTCCCCCTCTTTCTTCTGCCCCCAACACCCCTTGCACACACATTGAAACCTGGGGCCTCTTGGCTGAGCTCTCTTTGCTGTAATGGGGAAGAGATTTTTCTTTTTTAAAGTCTGTCTCCTCTCTCTTTTTTGGTACGTGTGTGTATGCTTGTGATTTAAACCGGATGCAGGGCATCTGCGATACTTGGGTTAGTAGTTATTGACAGTGCTTTATCCTTCATGTGGAGGTGGGAGGGGTAGCAGTGAGGTTCCGTTTCACTTTAATGACCCTCCTTCCCCGCAGTAGTGTTAACAGTTTTCATTGTGGTTGTGAGACTTTGTGATGAACAGGGAAAGGACACAAGGAAGCTTCGTGAGAACTCAGTTCACAATGTTATTTGTGACAGTTATGTTACTTTAAGAGTTTTTTTTATCTTCTCTGTTCATTTTCCTTTGAGAGTTGAAATTGAAGTCAAGTTCATAAAGAATGTATGAAGCTTCTCAACTTGAAACGTGTGTATATTTCACTTTCTTTGCGGTTAAGATCTAGGCATGTGTGTACTTAACATATTCTTTTTATTTACTTTTTGATTTTCTTTGGACAGTGACTTGAACCTGATCAGGAGAAAGAACGTTTTCCCTTTTCACTATTTCTTTTGCAATTTATTTTTCTCTGTAATTTGAATACTTATTAGTTCTTATATAGTAGGTTCTTGGTTAGCGTTAGCCAGTTTTTCAGATCCCCTAAATTTGTTCATTTTTTTCGGCTTAACTTTTAGTTAATAAAGTATCAGTAAAGAGTTTTGATAATGAATGTGTGCTAAAACAAATATAATGTACTATTATGGTTGCACATATTGAAGTTTTTAATTTACAATTTTAAAAGACTTACTCAAATAGTCTTCTTTCTAACAACAAACATATATTGATTTAACTGACAGAGCAGCTTGTGAATAATGTGACAGTGCTAATTATTCTTGAGATTGTCAATGAGCAGGGTGGGTAATTATAATGCTCTTAAGCATAATATTTGTAAAATAAGAGTTGAGGTTTTAAAAAAACTTTTTCAATTCATTTTCTTGTGATTGCTATTTTTAATGAAGACAATATTTTGTTCTGAAAGAAGTCTTTCTCAGAGCACTCACATTTCTTTATAATTATTCCTCCCCTCCCCAAACTGGGTTCCATGCAAATCTGTTATACTAACTTGTATTTTTTTTTTTCTGTTCAGATGAGTGTCAAATGCCTGAACACTTTTGGATGGTGAAGCTCCTGGGTCCTATAAACTCTCTCTGAAGTTAATAGGAGTTTTGCTGTCTTGGGACAGTTTCAGACCTTATGCCATTTATATAATAGATTTTCAGCTAAGTAAATTATATGCTATAATGTTATGGTTTAATATTTTATTTGCAGTGCTTGAGAACTTTTTTTGAGGCATTTCACTCGTATAGCTCAGGTTTTCTGTGATTTAGATTTTCATTAGATTTGAGAGCAGAACTTAAATTGAATTTCATTACTTTTGCATTTTTTTTGAAGCATATATTTGGGATAAAATTGCTGTTAGAGCTGCTGTGGAATTGATTAAATAATCAAAGACTAAGAAATGGTAAATTTAAAAATTAAACACAAGGATAGATACTTAGCATTTACTTTATTCTTTCTGCAATATTTTTCCCAGAAGAGACTAAATTATGTATCGATATCTCTTGTGTTTTCAGTTTGCATACTAAAAGAAATTTGTAAAAGTGATCATGCTTTGAAACTAAAGCTATTAAATACAAGTGACTTGTAACTTGTTTTGAATAGTTAAAGATCTGTGATTCAATGTATGTCATAATGCCTAACTCAGTCTTTTTGGTTTATTTTGCCTATGAATTATATTAAATGGTCTAGGCATCATACATATATACATAGATACATATATGGCAAACTAATAAATTTCTAGAAGTTTTGCATCCCTAAATGTTGTAGTGATGCTTAGTTTTTTAAGTACTATATTATTCTTCCAGTATTCAAGTACTTTTCTACTTTACTTTGGTACTTAAATAAAAGGTTACAGTGTATAAGCTTAATATGCTTTAACGTAGAACAGTTTATTTTACTTGAAACAAATTTATTACGGTAATTTTTTTTTTAACCATTAAAAGTAGTAAAAAATAAATGAATCTTAAAATCAAGTTAGATTTTATGCATAGTTTAAATGATTACATATGTTACTTTTTGGTAACCTTTTTCATTTCTTGTGAAAGTTGATATTGTGTTGGTATTCTCCAGCTGAAGAAATTAGCAGGTAGAATATAATGATTTTGGCTTTTCAGATTTTAAAGTGTGTCTATGTGTTTGTTTAAATGGGTGGGTATAGTAGCAGATGTGTGGCAAGAGTTAAACATACACGCGCACGCGCGCGTACACACACACGTTTCCTGATCAGTAATAGGAATGTTACTTTGTTCTTAGTATCCATAGTGAGAATGTGTTACAAGAAATGAGAAAAGGGAAGAAGTAAACTTTAACATTTTGGAGAGGCTGCTGGTTATTTTGTTTTTATGCTGAATGGCTAAAAATCCTCTATTTGCGCTTAGTTGCTTTAAAAACAGTTTTCCTAACTAAGTAATTTGCCTTTAACTCTTTGGTATATATTCCCAGTGGCCATCACAAAGTGTGTTTCGAATTCCTCTCTATTCACAGTTACATAGTGTTCCCATATTTTGGAAATCCAAGATTAAGTGGATTTGACTAAATCTAGCTTGTTAGGGACAGATGGCTGCTGCAAACAGGTGTCACTTTCATTTTTTACTGCATTGTGTTGGGACTTCCAGTGGTTCACAAAAGGGCTGTCTGAAGCAGGTGGCATCTTTTTCTTTTGTCGTTAGTAAAATCTACTTTAGAGTTAATTATTTTCCTAGGAAAAGGGTATTTTTTTTTAATAAGTAAAAGTTTTGAACTACTCAAGATCTGTAATTTAATATAACTTTTATTTCTGAATATCATTCTATTTTTAAATTGTAGAACTTGCAGATTCTTTCACAAAACGCTTATCAATTCTTATAAATAATGGCAAATTCCCTTTGAATCCAGAAAAAGTACGCAGGAACATTTTACAAACCTCGAGGCCTATTTGAATAAAGTGAAATTTGGTTAACATGACAAGTTACCTTCTGTCATCCTACAGTGAAATTTTTTTTGGACAGCATTATTTATATATTGGAAATAGGTGTTGTTTTTGTTTTTCAAACTAAGACATTTTCCTGACCTACTTAAATTATTGCTGTAAAGTTTATAGTGATCTTTTAAAATGATAAATATTTTTAAGCATTAATGTTCAAAAATATGTACTACAGTAAATTAAAACTATCGCAATATTGACTTCTGAGGTTCATTTTTCCTCTATGATTCTGTCCTTTTCTGTGGGAATTTTATTTCTTATAACAGATGCACCAGAGGGTGCTGTGCTGTTTGCAGCATGAGGTTATTATCACTAAGAATGTGAACTCATTAGAACTTTTATTTAAAGAAAAAAATTTTAATTATGTATGCATTGAAGCATATAATAGTCTTATTTTTATGGAGTTTAGCATACTGTCTTTAGGTACTTTTACATCAAAACCTATCTTCATGTACTAATACATATTACCGCAATATGTAACGATGTAAAGATTGATACCTTTGGCGTTGTCTGAATGTCGGCACTAGGCCTGTAGGCATATATGTTGATTATCTTATGTAGATATTTTAATCTTTATTTCAAAACTTAGGTTACTGAGAATCATACTATTTGGTGATATGCAGCTTTATACTTGTTAAATTTCATATGGTTAGCACATATCAATACTTGTACATTGTTGTAACACTTCTACATGGCACAATTAGTGATATGCTTTTTCTTGTATAATCTTTAAAAAAACCGGGCTGGAAAAATAAATTAGGGTAGTGGTTATCCGGCTAATTCATAATAAATATATTAAAAATTATCTAGATAATTCTGGCTGTTTGTAGTGGTTCGTGCCTGTAATCCTAGCACTTTGGGGCTGAGGCAGAAGTATCACTTGAGGCTATGAGTTCGAGACCTGTCTGGGCAACATAGCAAGACTTCAATTCTACAAAAAACATAAAAATAAAATTAGCCAGGCTTGGTAGTGCGTGCCGGTTGTCCAAGCTACTCAGGAAGCTGAGGTGAGAGGATTTTTGAGCATAGTAGTTTAAGATTACAGTCAACTACTGCAGCCTGGGTGACAGAGGAAGACCCTGTCCCAAAAAACCAAGACCAGAAACTAATGTAATCCCTACT